CGGGGAGGGAGGGAGGGCGGGAAAAGGCGGAGACGGGGCGAGAGGTGCCCCAGCCGCGGGGCCCCCGGCCCGACCGACACCGCGGCCCAGGAGAGCGCAGCATGCCCCTGGGCACAGGCCGGCAGGCGGGACAGAGGCCCACCGCAGCTCCCATGGCACTGGGGGCCACCCCGCCAGCCCCAAGGGAGCCGGCGTGCACCATGGGGAGCAGCATTTCGACTTGGGGAGCAAAACCCCCCTTCTGTGCTTGGCCACACATGGCTGGCACAGCGTTAGAGGAAAGCCTGAAGGAGCAGGCACAGGGCTGGCCCAAGGACTGCTTCCCACTATGGCAACAGCAGACAAAAAAAATCCCAAACCAAACTCAGAGCAACAAGAAGCCCTGAAGTCACCTACAGCCTCTGGAGCCCAGCAAAGTAAAAATAGCCCTGGAACGCTGTCAGCACCTGCCACTCAGACTAACCACACCGTGAAATACTGTGTCTGAAAAATAGAAGCAAACCCACAGTGTTCCTTCTGTCTGCTTTAGGAGTGAAACAGATATGTTGCCGATTGCCCAACTCCATCCCCAACCTACCAAAGCCCACACCAGACAGTTTATTTCTAAACCTTTATTTGTTTTCTACACAGAGAAAACAGAGGAATGTTGAAGCAGCAATATTTAAACACACTAGCAAGGAGCCGTCAATCTGTGAGAGTGCACAAAATGCAACACAGGGCCATTTGTGCAGTGGTCTCTGCTAAGGGGCAGGATGAGGGCAGGTCCAGGAGCAGCCTCTTCAGACAGACAGGAGAGCTCTACGCAAAGGTGGAGCCATTCCAGCCCACATTGGCAGCATTCATGTCAAAGTAGTTGATGTACACCCTGCAGAAGAGGCACATGAAGACACAAACAGTATTATTAACTCAAATTTAAGTAATGAGTGTGACAAGACAGGGGACAGTGCTTTTTATTCCTCAGAATAAATTTCAAGTTTCGTTTTTACTGAAATCTAGCTAACTTCTCTTGTAGAACCTCCAAACAGTTTTTCAGAATTTTACTTTTTTATTTTAAATACAAACTTCTGCAGTTGGGGACTGTCCAAGACACCAGAAAGCTTTTGGTTAGCAGTGTGTCAAGAACTTCTGGAGATCAAAACCTTTTGTTTCTGAGCACTGCAGTCCTTCACACGTGTCAAACAAACAGACAGGCAGCCTTATGACAGCCAAGCAGGCCCTCTGGGCCAGCTCTGCACTTTCTCCTTCCAACCCCAGCACACCAGTGGCAGCAGGTTCTTCCCGTCCTTTGCTGCTGCATGCAGACACTCCTGAGGCTCCGCAGCCTGCAAGGCAGCTGTTCATAACCTGATGGTTTCTACTTTGTCTTTCAGCTCCAGACTGTTATTGCTCCTCCCTTGTGCTTTCAGCATCCCATCACCAGAGGACATCACACTCAGCAGCAAAAACCACACTGTACAACTTGTTAGTCCTCTGGGATTTCTCCCTACTCTGAGAACAGGAAGCCATTTAACAGAAGACTCTCAAGGCTAAGATGTAGACCTCAAACACTTAATGAGATGTGAAAACAATGCAAATTATCACTTGATATTTTCTCACAGGGACTTATTCCTGGCTTTTTGTATTTTTAAGTAAACTTTCCAAAGCCGTTTCACAAAGCCAGACATACACGGTTAAAATGATGTCTCAGCCTCACCTGTCTGCAGATACATGCAAGTGCTTAGAGATCAGATCACACAGGAGCTTGGTGTAGGTCTTGTTCTGCTGCCCTCCAATCTTGCCGATGCTGTAAAGGCTGCAGAGCGCGCAGGGATCGGTGGAGCCCCCGAAGGACATCATCTGATCAGGTATGATGTGCACAGCTATGTACTGAGGTAAGAGAACAAACGGTTACAGCCTATCTCACCTTCCCTCTCCTGATGCAAACTTACTGTCGGTACCAACTTTACTCAGGGCAGCCATGTGCTGTACGGTGGCCCAGGGCTGGGGCAGGAAGTTCACCAGCGCTGCCCTCTGCGCCCTTCCCAGGCTCTGGGGAAGCACTGATGGCTCAGTCACTGCAGCCCCCACGGGTGGCACGGCAGCATGTGCTGGGGGGGATCCCCTCGAACCTGGCTCTCAGCTTTAGGAATGAAGGTCATGCTTGTGCAATGCCGCAAACGAGGCAGGTACCCCTGCCCGCCACAGCACTGCTGCTGCAGGGGCAAGGAGCAGGGAGCTGGGGATAAAGGCCTTAAATCTGTATTTTCACACCCGAGTCCATACCCTCAAATCACAGACTGAGCCACCGGGCCCGTCTAAGAGCCTCGTCTGCAGCTCAGCCTTATCGGGCTTTGGCTTCCCAGGCTGCAGCGGTCCGGCCCAGGCGGGGCCGTACCCGCTGCCGGGATAACCACGAGCAGCCCGGAGAACGGCTCGGTATCTGCCACTTCGCTTTGCCACAGACCCGCTGGCCTGGCCGACACCGGCCCCTCCCGCCA